AATAAATAAAATAAATTTTATTTCCAATATTATAATTTATAATTATAAAATTAAATTTTAAAAATATAGTTTACAATAATATAAAAATTAAACATCTCAAATAAATTTAATAAAATAAGTATAGAATTTTTACAATGAAAATTCCAAAACATCTTAGAAATTAAAGAAGACCCACCTAAGTAGACTATATTAAGACTCAGTATTGTTTATAAGTCCATATTTTGAAATTTATTTATAAACTAAATTTAACCCCAAATCCATGCATGTCATTTTGAGGCAATTATGTAATCAAAATTATATGGGAAAAGTCCAATACTTTTTAAAAATAAAGTTAAAGACCCAACCCTATTTAATCTCAAGATGTATTAGAAAGCTATACTAATCAAAACAGTGTTGTATCAACAGGGGGATAGGTGTATATATTGATAACACATTTTTTATAAAGGTCAAAGTGCAGAAAATTTGGGTCTATTTATTAACTCTGCTATCTTTTATTAATTTATTTGTGTATCTTTACAGCAATAGCCATATTGTCTTGATTAGTGTATGTTGAGCTTTGAAATCAGATTGTCTGAGTCTCTCATTTTCAAGAATAACCGTGTAAATTTCTACAGATTTGGGGAGGGAAAGGCAGGCCATCTTCAGCAATTAACTTTTCTCCTTGAGAGAATCAGCTTCTGGCTTATCCCTGCACTCTGGTAGAGACTAGATGCCTCATAATGAGACACTAAGTGACCATAAAGATCTATACTGGCTCATAATACTAACTGATAGACTGGCTAACTGGTCAGAATCTTGAAGTAGATGACGTAGGAAGATTAATAACAGTCTATTAAAGTTTTTGTGTGAATGTACCACTCACAATGAGCATGAAGTATGAAAATGTTCATAAATTCTTTGCATGGTTATTCAAGGTTGCCTATTGCAATGAAAGCTCTCAATACTCAAATGGACAAGGTGCCCCATTCTGTGGATGTAAACCAACTTTTTCTTATGAACAACCCCAGTGTTTGTTTAATGGGCTTATATTCAAAGCTGCTGTTGTTATGCGATGAGGTCTATGTATGAGCTCAACAAGATGGATTTTCCCTCTCCACAGTTTCTGCTTACTGGCATCACTGGTTGCCCAATTACCAATGGCAGGGGTTAAACATTAAGCCCCATGTTTTCAAGTATTCCTCTGGGTGAGAAACCATTCTTCACTAATTGATTACATTGGACCTCTGCCACCATAGTGAAAAGGACAATTTGTCCTTCCTGAATTGAAGATGGATAATTATCCGTCTACGCATTTGCCTTCCTTGGCTGCAGTGCTTCTGCCAGATTCACCAAGAACAAATTTATAACAATGCGCTATTGTTGTCAAAATGGTTTCTAATAAAGGAACTAATTTTAGCATAAAAAGTACAGTAATGAGCTCATACTTATGAAATTGATGGATCATATCATATATTCCTTTACACAGAAGCAGCTGGCCTTACAGGTTATTGCCATGTCCTATTGAAGACTCAGGTATGGTGCTTGCTGGAAAGCACCATCTGCAAGGCTATAACACTACCCCATGAGAATCAGTCTATCTTTGAATAAATGATTTATATGTGGTGCTTTTTAATTCAATTGCCAAAACACATAGGTTCAAGACTAAAAAGACAAAAATGGGAGAGGTTCTCTTACTATCATACCCAATAATCCATTCACTGAACCCCTGCTTCCCATTCCAATAATTTTGAGCTCTGTCAGTTTAAAGGTCTTCTTAAGGGAGGAATAATTTCACAAATATAAGCAATATTTCCCTGGCAACATGGAAGTTGAGAGTGCCATTTGGCAAATTTGGGCTCCTATTCTACTGAATCAATAAGCAAAAATGTATTGAAATCCAGTTATTAAAAAGTAACAGACACTCTCAAAGTAGAAGACTATGCCTGGAATCCAAAGGATTCTCTTGAAAACATCCAATTACTTCAAGTTGAATAGAGGATGTTAATTAAAGACCAAAGTAATGAATAAAGGCAAGATCACTAAAGACTCAAATGTTTTAGGAATGAAGATTAGAGTCTCCTAACAGTAAAGAACTCTGATTCTCTAAAGTGAGGAAAAGGAGAATCTGGATTAGAAAATGAAAGAAGTTATAAATACTATTTACAGCTTTATAACCAGTTACTGACATGAAGACAATAATAGTTACTAGAGGCCTGATGCACAAAATTCGTGCATGGAGGAGGGGTTCCCGCAGCCCAGCCTTCACTCTCTCCAGTCTGGGACCTCTCAAGGGATGTTCGACTGCCCATTTAGGCCCAATCCCAGTGGGATCAGGCTTAAACGGGCAGTCAGACATCCCTTTCACAATCCAGGACTGCTGGCTCCCTAGTGGCTCATCTGCCTGCCTTCCTGATTGCCCCAACCGCTTCTGAATGCCAGCCTGATTGATGTATAACTGCTCCCCTGCCAGCCTGCTTGCCTCTAACTGCCCTCCCCTGCAGGCCTGGCCTCTCCCTTTCCCCCCAAACTGCTCTTCCCTGCAGGCCTGGGTCCTGCCCAACTGCCCTCCCTTGAAGGCTTGATTGCCCCCAACTGCCCTCCCTTGCAGGCCTGGTCCCTCCCAACTGCCCTCCTCTGCTGACCATCTTATGCTGGCCATCTTGTGTCCACATGGGTGCAGGATCTTTGACCAATGGAGGCAGTCATCTTGTGTGTTGGAGTGATGGTCAATCTGCATATTACTCTTTTATTAGATAGAATAGAGGCCTAGTGCATGGGTGGGGGCCAGTTGGTTTGCCCTGAAGGGTGTCCCAAATCAGGGGGGGGGGGGTTCCCTTGGGGTGTGGGGTGGCCTGAACGAGGGGCCTGTGGTGGTTTGCAGGCCAGCCATGCCCTCTGGCGACCCAAGTGGAGGCCCTGGTATCTGGAATTTATTTCCCTTCTACAATTGAAACTTTGTAGCCTGGAGCAGAACCAAGTCTCCTGTTGGAATTTGTTTACCTTCTATAATTGAAACTTCATAGCCTCGATTAGAGGCTTAGGCTGGCAAGGGCAGGTGGAAAGCTTGGCTTCCTCCATTGCTGGGGAAACCCAAGCCTCCCTCCTGCTCTCTGTGGCTGTAGCCATCTTGGTTGGGTTTATTTGCATACTTGCTCTGATTGACTGGTGGGTGTGGCTGGTGCGTGTAGCAGAGGTATGGTCAATTTGCATATTGCTCTTTTATTTTATAGGATATCAAATTTTTCCCTTGCTGGGGAAGTGTTCAAGCATACTCCACATAATTTTAATGGTGGGGATAGAAGGGAGACTAGGTAATAATATAATTGAAATATTAAAAGTCAAACATGATCAGAAGATTTGCTATTCTAAAAAACATGCCCTTACAGAAAACATGAATAAACACTTTCCCTGAATAGACACATGTCCAGATGGCCAAGAGACACATGAAAAGATGTTCAATGCCGCTAACTGTCAGAGAATGCAAATTAAAACCATAATGAGATATCACCTCATACGTGTCAGAATGGACATCATCAATAAATCCACAAACAACAAGTGTTGACGAGAATGTAAAGAAAAGGGAACCCTCGTGCTCTAGTGGTGGGAATGCAGATTGGTGCAATAACTATGGAAAACAGTATGGAGGGTCCTCAAAAAATTAAGAGTGGAATTGCCCAATGAACCAATTATTACACTTGTGAGTATATATCTGAAGAACCCAAAACACTAATTTGAAAGAATACATGCACCCCTATGTTCAGTGCAGCATTATTTACAATAGTCAGAATATGGAAGCAACCCAAGTGACAATTTATTAAACACACACACACACAAAAAAAAAAAAAAAAGAAAAGAAAACACACACACACACAAAAAAAACAAACAAAAAAAAAACTGTGGTACATATATGTAATGAAATACTACTAAATCATTAAAAAAAAATTTTTTTTTTAAACCACGAAATCTTACCATTTGCATGGATGGACCTAGAGGGTATTATTCTAAATGAAATAAGTCACTCAGAGAAAGACAAACACCATATGATTTCACATATATGTGAAATCTAAGAAACAAAATAAACAAACAAAATTGAAACAGACTCATAGGCTCAGAGAAGAGGCTGATGGCTGCCAGAGGGGAGGAGGGGTGCAGGATGAGTGAAAAGCTTCATGAAAGGTTTAAGAAGTACAGATTGGTAGTCACAAAACAGTCATGGGTAGTCATAAAACAGCATAGAGAATACAGTCAATAACATTAGAATAATATGTATGGTGCTAGATGGGTACTGGAAATATTAAGGGGCACACTATAAAGTATATGACTATCTCTCCACTATGCTGTACACTTGAAACTAATACAAAATAATATTGAATGTAAATGAAATTGAAAATAAACTTTAAAAAAAAGGTAAATAAATAAATAAATAACAGACCCCTATTTTATATATTTCTTACATATATAGGACATATTTTATATATTATATATTTCTTTGTTATTCGTTCATACATCTCCATGAGGAGAGCATGAATGTGTCCTGACTACAATGGCCTGCCTCAAAATCAACACACTGTGGCATCCTGACAGCTGGCCTTTAAGTTTCTGAATATGACAACTCCCTAAATCTGAGGGAGACCCTTTTAAATGATGACCTTAAGGAAATATCAGAATGAATCATTGTCTCAAAAAGGAGTATCCCTTGCTCTTATTCTGAACCTGGATACATTTCCTTGCATGTCCTATTTATATTAGTGACTGTAACCTATCTGATAAAAGAGAAGGCAAACTTATTTTCTGCATCTGCTTTTCCCAGAAATTAGGTAGCTCTGAACTCATGGAATCAAATAGTTTACCCCTGTGAGCTTTCCCTAAATGGGACCATAACAAATTTCCTTTTTTAGAGCAGAGCAGGAGCCAGCATAGTAAGAAAAACTAGATGTAAAAAAATATTAAAAAAAAAAAATACAGAATGGAACCTGAGAATGGCCACTGCTAGATTGAAATAAGAGGATTAGACTACTCACATGTATATGACTTAATCCATTCAAAATTTGAACAAGTCCTTGCTTCCTGGATGTTCCCAAAAGCACCACCTTGATAATGTTGCTGCTATGTAAAGAGAACGAAGCAAGGCAGAGCTGTACTGGCAACCATCTCACTCACAGTGGTGATTCAAATGAGCAAACTCAAGTCAAGCCAAGGCAAGTCACCACTAGTAACAGAGACAGCAGCATAAGTACATCTAAGTAGCAGCCAAACTTCTAAATGAAGAAAATCCCCTGTCAAATATCACTTTACAAAATTGAATTTTGTACTTTACTTTTTTGCCTGTGATAACTCTCTTACTTCTGTCATTGGAAGTATCATCAATTGTCATTGTTTTCTGAAATCCTTAGGAAATTAAAATAATTTTCACATTTGGGGTAAAAAGAAGGAGTTACCTAAAGAAGAGACTTAATCTGACCCCTTAGTAATTATGGTCAAGAGGTTAGCAGAGATGAGGTATTTTGTAAGTTAGAGTCCAGAGTGAGGATGTGACTTCTCATCAGCCACTGAGGTGGGCACTGTGCTTGCCCAGCAGGGACTCTCATGATTCACACTGTAGGGCATCTCAGTGTATACATGGTCACACTCAAACACACATTCTCTTCTTTTGAAGCTTGAACCAGTATCTTGCTTGTGTCCATCTGAGACCTCCCAATCTGTCAACAATGACTTATTAGAGATTTCTACTGCATAAAGTTCATTAGACTCCAAACAACAGCCACCAATAGTCCCTGTTACACATATCTAGAGCCCTGTTGGAAATGAGACCAATTCAGCATTGTTGTTGTCATGACAAAATATAGAGGGAGTTTAGGGTTATGTCGTCATGTAATAAAAGACTAGTTACAGTAGGAAAATGTGTGAGAAGTCCTGAATGTCTAAAGATATAGTCATAAATCAATAGTTTGTCCTTTAAGATTTCAGAGAGGTAAAACAGTTTTTGGTGATGATAAGTGAGGTCTAAGAAGGCTAATAAATGACAATTATTTATCACCAGTAAAATTGCTGGCTTAGTTTCAAAACTAAATGGACTCCCTGCTTACCCATCCTCATCACTCATATCCTCCTGGGACCACCTGAAAAGAAATAGGTGTTTGGACAATAAAATACTGTCTAGGATTTTACACTGGTCTGAGTTTAGAAAATAAATTGAATCCCTGTGGTCACTGACTTTTGACAAGTTATCTCTAAGCAAATTGAGAGGAAAAAAAAAAAAAAAAACCTGGTTAATGCTGTCACCAACCAACCATAACACCTTCTCTTCTTTTAATGGAAGTAGTGGAGCAAGAGACCAGTAGTGTTTGGGAAATTTTCTTTTCATGGAAATCACAGAAATGTTTTTTTTTAAATAAGTCTATCTTCTGGCTGAAATATGTAAAACTAGTTTGTGGTAAATGGCTGGGGAATTTGAAGGAACATGCTTCCCTCTTAAACTAATAAGATACAGTACTTTGCTGTGATATGAGTGGCCAAAGAGCAGTTTGGGTGAGGGTTTTTGGAATGAAGGTCAAAGAATTTTGAAACCAGGCCTGTTGGATGGCTTGTCCTTATGGTCATTGGAGCCTTATCTGGTTGTACAAAGACCTATATAGAAACATAATAAATGCTAATAACTCCTATGTGGTCACACAGAGTTAGGTATTTTATACACATTGACTTTAGTTCTAACAGCTATCCTTCAAGATAGATATCACTGTCCCAAATGCATAGGCTGGAGCCAGGCATTGTTATCTTGAGTGAGTGAGTGGAAGTGATGTGGAGGTTGGTAGATGACAAAAGTAAGAAACATAAAACTAGTACTCTCTTGTTTGGATAACATCAATAACAAAGAAAGGGGTTTTTACCTGATCAGAAAAGAATATGACTTCTGAGGTAGTAAATGGGAGGCTTATAAAATGCTGGCTCTGTGGTCTATTGTGGGAGAGAAAAAGCAGTTAGTGACACCCACTTGGTGGGAGGTGGTTTCCATGAGGCTGAGTCAAGTTTTCTTTAAGGGAGTATATTAGTTAAGATTCTCATGAGAAACAAAACCAATAGGATGTATATATTCACAAATGGATTTATTTTACCTCATGCAATTGTGGGGTTGTCAGGTCTGAGATGTGTAGATCTGGCCAGGAGTATGGAAACCCAGGGAAATGTTAATATTGCTTTCTCAGGTCCAAAGGTACAATCCCATCTTCTTCAGGAGACCTTAATCTATTCTCTTAATACTTTTAACTGACTGCATGAGATCTATCCACAAGCCTACTTATTTAAAGGTTAATAAAATCTTAAAAATACCTGTAGAGCAACATCTAGACTGATGTTTGACTAAAAACTGGGAACCATGAAATACCCGAGTTGACACATAAAATTAACCAAGAGAGGGAGGAAGAAAGAATTATAAAAATAAGGTGAACATATGGATAGAGTGAATTTACATAAAATGAGTATCCTGGGCCAATAGATAGAATGAGTAGAAAAAAAATGAAAGAGTAAAAGTATAAAAGAATCCAAGATAAGAAGAGATTGCAGGAATTTGAATTTTGAAATAAAATAAAAACATGGTGGGATTGATAGTTTTCAAAAGGAAGACCAGAGCGGGAGGTGTCAGTGCTATTGGAGGCCTGAGCAGGTTAGTAGACCTTGTCTTTATCACTGTTGAAATGGAGTGTTGCTGAGGCACCATTCTGATTTCTTGGGGAAGATCTCTTAATCAGGAGCAGAAAGGGATAAATCACCTAAGTTGGAACTCAATGTTCGTACCCCTTATGGTCAGGAAACCCTACATTCTGTAAATGGACTTGAGAAAGATACAAGTCTTTGTATGCTACTTGAGTTGAAATACTAGCTACCCCAGCCTTTTCTCTGAGGTAGCTAGCCCAGACTTTTAATATCTGTACTGTCAAATTTGAGAAGCCTTTGAGATCTGAGTAGTCATGTCAAACATAGCAGACATTCTTTACTTCCCTACTTTACTTGTCTCAGGCTCATCCAGTCCACTTCTCCCAGGTTAGAATTCAAGTGGCTTCATAAGCCTTGCCCAGATCTGGGAGTTGGTCTGCCTTTGTCTGTGTACCTGCCTGGTATCCCATGTGTGGCCATTGCTTTTGCTATGATCCCTTCTAAAGTCTGGAGAATGACTCTCTAACACTGCTCCTTGCCTTGACCCAACCCAATTTTGTATCCAGCTCAGGTATAGAGGGCACCATTATGTAGCATTAAAATAAAGCATATTCTAAGCCCTTTAACAGAGTATTTCTAAAATAGTATTAGTTGATCTCATTTTTATTTCTAGTTGATCCCTTTTCATATCCTCACAGGTCTCATTTACTTTATCGGCCTTTTCTAGGAAAGTCTTTTAAAAAAACAACAACCTTATAACTGTGGTTTTGAACTACTAGAAATAAAGAATACATTGTCTGAAATAAAAAATATTATACAGAGTCCTAAAAACAGAATGGAAGATCGCAAGAATCAAGTCAAAGAGTTGGAACATAAAGAGCCAGAAGACACTCCTCCGCAGAAGCAAGAAGACAAGAGAATCCAGAAAGTTGAAGATAATGTAAGAAAACTCTGGGACAACTTCAAGCGAACCAACATCACAATAATGGGGGTCCCAGAAGAAGAGAGAGAGCAAGATATAGAAAACATATTGGAAGAAATAGTGACAGAAAACTTCCCCCACCTGATGAAAGAATTAGACTTAAAAGTCCAGGAAGCACACAGAACCCCAAACAAAAAGAATCCAAAGAAGACCACACCAAGACACATCATAATTAAAATTCCAAGAGCAAAAGACAAAGAGAGAATATTAAAAGCAGCAAGAGAAAAGCAGGTAGTTACCTATAAAGGAGCACCCATACGATTGTCAGCTGATTTCTCAACAGAAACCATGCATGCCAGATGGGAATGGCAAGAAATATTCAAGGTGATGAATAACAAGAACCTCTAGCCAAAAAATACTCTATCTGGCAAACTATCACTCAGAATCGAAGGCCAGATAAAGATCTTCACACACAAAAAAAAAGGTAAAGGAGTTCATCACCACCAAACCAGAATTATATGAATTGCTGAAGGGGGTTCTTTTGGAAGAGGAAGAAAATAAAGATAAAAATTATGAACAACAAATATGTTACTATCAACAAGTGAATCTAAAAACCAAGGGAATTAAAAAATCTGATAAACTATATTAACTGGTAAATATAATAGAATCAGAGGTATGGAAGGGGAGTGGACTGACAATTCTCAGGGAAAAGAAGAGTGAAGGGTGTGGGAAGAAACTGAACATAAACCGTGCACCTATGGATGAGGACAATGGGGGCTGGGGAAAGGGCAGATGGTGAGGTGGGAATCTAGTGGATGGGAGCAATGTAGGGGGAAAAATGAGGAACATTTGTAATAATATGAACAATAAAGATTTATTAAAAATAAAAAATAAAATAAAATAGTATTAGCTGTGGAGGTGCATACACAGCGAAACAAAAGAAAACAAAACCTCAATACACAATCTGCTCTTGGGGGCTATTTTAGCTGATCCCCTGAGTTGCTGGACCCTGAACCCTGCCAGTCTGCTGAATAACTGCCTGCTCAACCTGCCTCATCTGAAGTAGGTCCTAGACTCTTCTTTTATTGACTTCCTGCATCCCCTGTTAAGGGGAACTCCTAACTGATGCCCCAGAGTCTGTGGGTAACCCCACATACACACCTTATAAAGTAATGTGGAGTAACATATATCACACTGGCCTGTGTTATATTCCTGACTGCTTTTGCTGTGTGCTGCATGATCTGGGATAAATCTTCATAAAAGAAAAATATTAATTCTGTTCTCAAAGTATTACTATATGTGTTAAATGGAGCAAAGTTTCATGTTTGTAAAATTAAACTACCATACCACCAAACAAAGGCCAATGCTGAGTCAATTAATATGAATATGATAACTATGAACAAAACTTTGACATCTCACTTGCATTTACCTGTACAAGAAGAACTTAAGGACTATTTTCCTGCTCACCAATCATCCAGAGAAACTTGATCATAGCTCAATAGCAAACATGGTAATCTGCAAAACATGGAGATAT